GGAAGTAGGACTAGAAAGGGAGATTGGCTGTCAGGCCTTAGGGCTCCCTGAATATTGTACCAAAGAGTTTGGATGATATACTCTATGTAAAGGGGGCACTTGAGGGTTTGAAGGCAACGACATAATGAGGTTGTATTTGAAGAAGATAATTCCGGCAAAAAAGTAGTAGAGAGAGACCGTTTCAAAGGCAATCGTACTATTGTAATTCTCAGAGTAGGAAATGGTAACAACCTGAACAGAAGGAAGTGGTAAAGCAAAGAGCCAGTGGAGGTCAGTGGTGGAAAAATCAAAATGACTAAAAGAAAAACTGAAGGTAGAAAAAATAAAGATGATCCTATTTTGGGTGATTCAAAGGATAGCATTCCCTTAACTGAGAGCGGGAACATGGGAGCAAACAATACATTTATAAGTAGTAAGATGATAAATTTAGCTTGGGTCATGTTGGGATCGAGGCAGCAATTAGATGTGTTCGGGGAGATTCTGTTACTCTGTTGCTAATAAACATTTGGTGCATGGTCAAAGAAATCAAAGCTACAGGTGTAGATTTGGAAGTCAGTCTAACTGAGGTGGTTGAGCCAATGAGTAAACTCAAGAAATGTTAGGCAAGTAAAAAGAGAAGAAAATATAGAACAAAATTTGTAAAATTTCAATAGTTAATAAGTTGGCAGAAAGGAAAAGTTGGCAAGTGAGGAAAACAGGACCAATGAATAAAAGAAGAACTCTAGAAAACACTTATTTACAAGCAGAAGATACTGGTTTTCTTCCTAGTGTTTCAAGACAGTATTTGTTAAACTTGTTTGACCCTCAGCTTTTCTCATCTGGAATACATATCCTGCAAGGATGGGTTTTAAAAGATAGTGAATGTGAAAGTGCTTTGGTAAACCATCAGACACACAAGTCTTAGGTCTTATAATTAGTGTCACAGAAGTGAGGAAAGTAGAGACTTCCAACAAGGCAGAAAGTAGTGTCAGATGCTACAGTTTCATAAGAATATTTATATTTAGCTCAGCTGGCTTGGCTTGTGATTTAAGGAAGTTAAGTCCGGAGTGAATCTGTTCTTTAATCACTTAGAACAGCATTTCCCAAAGTATGGAGCATGTGTCTCTGGTGGTATAGGAGAGAACTTTGGGTTTGACACAGACATCAGGCAGGACTGAATCACATAGTGAGAAAGGTGTTTTTTTGTTTGTCTTTTAATCTCCAGATTAATATTAAGGGAGTAAGTCTGAGTTGGGACAAATAAGTCTGTAGCATCTAACACTAGTTTCCCCTTTCAGTAAATGCCTTCAGGTTGTGAGCATTATTCAGTTAGAATTTAACAACATCATATTAACTTTAAATTACCATCTCTACTACCTTCTTATTTTGGCAGGGATACCAGTTTTCCAGTTGGGAGAGTGATATAAAGTTTCCTTTAAAAATAAGTTATTTTAGGGGCACCTGGGTGGCTCAGTCGTTAAGCGTCTGCCTTCAGCTCAGGTCATGATCCTAGGGTCCTGGGATCGAGCCCTGCATCAGGCTCCCTGCTCGACAGGAAGCCTGCTTCTCCCTCTCCCTCTGCTGCTCCCCTGCTTGTGTTTCCTCTCCCGCTGTCTCTCTCTCTGTCAAATAAATAAGTAAAATCTTAAAAAAAAAAAAAGATACCTTGTTAAAAAAAAGTAAGTTATTTTAAACAAAAAAAGTAATTGATTTTTTTAAATATTAAGTACATAATTGTAATAGGTGATATACAGTTACAACAAAACTGAGAAAATGGTATTCCAATAAGGGGAGTTTGGAAATTTTAGATTTACCAGAGCCCTTCCTTGTTCTGTTTCTTGGAGTGGCTACCTCAGTTCAAGCAGGTTAGAACGATGTAGGAAATTGTCCATCCTGGGACAGTGGTGGGCTGGTGGTGGTTGTCTTGGGTTCTAGACTTCTAGATTTAGACCCTGTTTTTCCCCTAACATGTTGGGTCAAGTTTTGAAACCCGTAGATTTTTCTAGAATTTTGTGTCTTCAGAAGTTAAAATGAGAGGGTTAGTTTTAAATGATTACTAGAGTTCCTTCCAGCAATAAAGTCTATGATTCTCTGAATGATTAGTAAATAAGCCTATGCTTTCAAATTGATAGAAGTTAGAAAAAATGTTTTTCCTCTGTAAGGCATCAGTATCATATGTCAATGCCAGAGGCTGTTTGCAGACTAACATCCACGGCGAGGAAAACATCAACAAATTCATTCTCTAATGATAATTCATATTCTACCTCATTTGCGAAGGACAGTTATTTCAAGAAGGAATCTCTGCTTTAGTTAAGGCGATTGATTAAAATTGAAAGTGAAATCGTAAATGAAAATCTGTTTCAATTTCCTGAGCCTACTGCTTTATGTCAATACCTCACTCTTAACTCAGTAGTTTCACTGCAGTCCTATATAATAAATTCAGAAAGCCCATGAATTCTGTTACTTGGTGTAGCAGCTCATTGGTAATAAGTCCTTATACGTAAGAAGATGTTTCTATTCATCTATTTACTAATATCTTTCCACCTTTTAAAATTTATTTCCCTTCAAAGGGAGGGCAGGTGAAGTATTTTCTAACTGGCTAAAAGTTCTCCTAAGTGTTATTGTGAATTAATGTAACTCTGCATCCCAAGTAACTCTTAAAAATAGAAGTATACCACCTATTTGGAATCTAACAATATGGCAACTTCCATCATCAAAAATACAGCTGAGGACCAGGTAGCAAATGAAACATGGATATTGAATGGGGATAGAAAAAACCACCCACGCCCATCTTGGGATCTAAAAAATTTGAGTTTATTACTTCCTTTAAAAAGTTTCCATATGAACAAGTTCTTCTCTATGATTAGGTAGGAAGTGTTTGTCCCAGTCATTTTCTGAACTGCATCGGTGTCACGTTTTGCTCTAACTTGCACTAACAAGGGTTATCTTTGTACAAGCAACTTAGCAATTATAGGATTGTGTTTTCACATCTGGAAAAAAAGGAAAATAATAACAATAATGATAATTTGGTCATTGATTTGATGAAATTAGTGTCTGTATGTAAATTCCTCAGCCATGTAGTAGATACTTCCTAGGTGCTCACCAAGTGTTAATTCCCAACATTGCAAAAAACACTTTGATCAGTTGAGATTAAACATCAGCGCTTGATTTTGGAAGATCATCTTTTACTGCCCTTCAGAGCCTCTTTCCTTCTTCTGTTCTCTATATAATAGTAAACTTGATTTCCTGATTTTGGTGCTTATAGATTAGAAGTGCAGATTAGAAGTTGTAAAGAACACCAGGAAAAAAAAGACAAGAAACTGAATAAAATAGAAATAACTTAAAAATTATAGTTATCTAAGGCCATTTAGTGCAGGGGAAAACAGTCCTTCATACCTTAGTAGTCACTAAGTAGGCTTTTCTATATTACGGCAAGATATAATAAGGAGTATTCCAAATGATGATCTTGATTCATCAAGGCTAAATTAAAGTGTATATACTTTGCTTATTTTAGAAAAAAATGCAATGGTTTTGGAAGAAATTAAATATGAAAAGGACAAAATTTTAAGTAAATACCTTTTTGTGTGCTTTTCTGGTTAAAACTTTAGCCCTCCAAAACACTCAGCCATGGAGATGAACTCAGTCTCCGGGGCTTCCACATATGCATGATCTTACTGAAATATCTTTCGTGTGTCTCCAGCAAATAAGCTAAGGCTCCACACATTGTACAGAAAGGGCTAGGCATTTCTAATTACTAAGTTGAAATAATTTTTATGCAGATGGCCTTTTCTTTATGTTTCAAAAAAGAGCATTTGACAGAAATTACTTGTGGACTTTCACAGTAGCAACTTTTCTCAGATTCTTTTCCCTGGGACTTGGTGTTAGGACTGTTTACCCAGGTGGGCCCCAACGGCTGACACCTTGATTCTCACGGTGTCACCTGTGGTTCTTTCATAGTGCCACCTGTAATTTTCTGGGCAAAACACTGGAATTGGGTCTGGTTTGCACATTAAAAAAAAAACAAAAAACTTTTTCTAAGTTATCCTCATAAGTTAGTATGAACCCAAGTGCTAATCCATTGTATACTGACTCAGTACCACAAATATTGCAGTAAATGACTGATAGGAGTCAAGAAGTGGGCAATTGCAGATACTGTAGAGAGAGAACGTGTAGAATCCAACACCATCAGAGGTCAACCAGTCAAATACCAGGGCTGGATTTTTCAAAGAACCAGATAATGCCGGTTTTACGACCATTAATAACATTTCAGTTATATAAACAAAGATAAGAGTAATAAAAAATAAATTCTGCTTCTCAGTGTAATCTGATTGCCAACAGGGTTCAGAAACGAACTTTCTCATTGTGCACGTGGCATTGCATAATGGACCAGTGATCATTCTGCAGCCCCCTCCCCAACCTTCCATTTCCCTTTTATGGACAGTCCTTAATTCTGCCAGATCTCTAAGCTATTCCAGGGAGGCAGTTTCTTTGGTTTCCCCTTTAAAGCTCTTTGATTGTGCCTCTGGTAGTTAATGCACCAAATGGTCTTTAGGGGTATTTCATACATGTGCTCTGCAGCTAATCAGAGTGCCTTGGCCCACTGATTTCCTACTTCTGTGTTTTCCACATGTTCAAGGGCTCAGTTCAAACGCCAGGCCCACCAACTTCTGGAAAGGCATGGTAGAGCTCAGCTCTGATTTGGTGTCTGCCTCAAACGGAGATTTTCCAAAGGATATCCTGTAGTAGATGAATCACTCCGTTAGGCCAGGTTCACTTTTCAAACCAGGAAGCAGAGTGCCTGCTGTGTGGGGAAACTCAGATAAAGTTGTTGCGACTGTGCTCGGAGCCCTTGTAAATATTGTTGTCAGTGTCTTTGATACAGGTTCCATCAAGATAGTATGTAAACACTAACAGGTTAATTACGTGTCTTAAAGCTGTGTTTATCGAGAGTTGATGGGAAGGCTGTGAAATGAGTCCTTTACATATCGCGGTGACAGTTTCCTCCCCAATGTCTTCCCCAGCTGATTACTCCTCATGCCATCCGTGTGCAGACCCCTCCTCGGCACATCCCTGGTGTTGTAGAAGTCACATTGTCCTACAAATCGAAACAGTTCTGCAAAGGGACACCGGGAAGATTCATTTACACAGGTAAGAACCACTGCAGATGATGGACCTTGGCCTTGTGGGGGTTTTACTTTATCTTGTATGTTCACGTGTGCATTTTATTTTAAAATCTAATTTCTAGGACCCTCTTGCTTGGTCCATTTCACTGTATGTATGACCAAATGTCTTGCTATTATTATTATCATCATTATTTTAATAATTCATCTGGGTGTCCGTGTTGAATGAGAGGATCAGTAGAAAAAATTGGTTGGATACTTAAAGAAGCAGCCTGAGAAATAAGGAAAGGGGGAAGGAGTGCTAGACAATTCAGAGTCTCTCTGGATGTTAAGCCCTCTGCGTTGGGGTTTATTTGCTTTATGGAGTACGGATGTGCTTTAATGAAAAGTACAACTTTCTTCTAGCCTGGTCATAGCTAGAAAATTGGTAGTTTCCTATTTCATTCTGGGTTGGTACTTTCTTCTCCCGTAAAGTGCATTTTGCCCTCCCCAAACAGCCTTGGCATACGGACCTGCCTTGCGGCAAGAAACTAGAGTTGCAGAGTGAAGGTGAATTGACCACCCCTCAGATGGAGAGAACCAGGCAGGTTCCCTGTGGAAATGCAAGGACATACACAGCCTAAGTGTCCAATGTGTACTTTAGTAGTTTAGGAGATCCTCAGATTGTAATGTGCTAGCCAAACCCCCACGGATCTTTTTATAATTCAGATTCTGATTCAGTAGCTCTGGGTAGGACCTGAGACTCTGCCTCTCTAACAAGCTCCCAGGGGAGGCTGATGATCTTGGTCCATGGACTGCACTGGGAATAGTGACATTCTTGGCCCTCTGCTTTACTACCTGTCATCCCTAGGTAGCTGTCTCCAGGAAACTGTCCCACGTTTCCTTCTTCAATCAGTAGAGGACCACAGGCCTGACTCAGTATAGAGCATATGTTGCTTTCACCTAGAGCAGTGAAGAGATAACTCTGTTAACATATCCTAATTATAACCATACAATTAAAGGGACAAGTTTTATTTTGCTGTGACATTTTAACTCAAAGCATCTTTCCTTTTGTATTTTAAAACTAGGAACAAAACCAACCATACTTGTTAGTCTCAATTTCTCTCTCTCTCTCTCTCCTTCTCTCTCAAAATTATAAAAACAATTAATGCATCCTGACCCTTGGAAATGCCTCCCAGCCCTTTAAACAAAATGCAGGTTTGGTGCCTGCCTGACGATTAGTTTTAGTTAATTGAAAATTATAGGATTGACCCAAGAGGAAAATTTTGTTTGCACTCCAATCACTTTTACAAATTAAGGAAAATTACCACAATTTTGTTTAGCTAAGGTTTCACACTGAGTTCAAGAAATTAGCTCAGCCATCCCAACAAAGTCAGCACTTTGTTAGTGAGCACTTGAAAAAATAATAGTCTATCTGGAGTTTTGTGGTGTATACAAACGAAGCATAGAGAAAGCTATGATGCTTTATAGAAGTAGGCCAAGTGTTTTTAATTAGGCTCATTGGTTCAGCGTAAGTTTTGAAGAACAATCAAACTAGCAGATTAGCTGTTTCTTTTAAAGCTAGGATTTCTTGCCATTCATTTTTCCCATGAGAACTTCCACATAGCACTATTTTTTTTTTTTTTACAAGCCTCATTATGGGCCTGCAGGAAAAGGACCAATTGAAACTTCTGATACTGTAACATTCCCCACCATCATTCCGATGGATGGGAGTTTTTCACAATGTTCCTCACTGAACTCGGTGTTCTGGAACATATTACAAAACCACAGAGGCCAAATGTTTTCTCTGAGGAGTTTGGACTCTGTTTTTGGCCAAAAACATTTAGGCCTTGCTGGCTGCTTATTTACTCTGCTATTAAGAACAAGAAAAAGGAGAAGAAAAAGAAAAAGAAGAAAATGCTTGTGTGGTGGGAGGTACAAGAGGTAATCAGGCATGATTCCGCTTTGGTGACAACATCCCTGCCCATTAATGGTTCCATTTTGTGGTCAGGTCTCATTTAGAAGAAATTATTTTTAATCAGTGTTCAACAAAATATCCCCTTGAGCCACCTGGCCATAAAAGTTAAAAAAAAAAATCATCCCCACTAAATTACTTAAGTTCTCAAAAGAAAATAGCTAGGGACCCATTATGATTGGAATTTTTTTAACCATTAAGAAAAATTGCCATCAATTTAAGAAATCACATCTTGGAAAACCTGTATCATACAGGAATTAGGATCAAAGATAAAAGCGACAGATTTGCAAGTCTAGCAAAGTAGTTAGGGTTAAGAGAGAGAAATCCTGGGTGTGCATGCACGTGTGTACGTGTGCAGGAAATTTAAAGTCTGAAAAAATGCTTCTTCTGATCTTGCCTTAAACTGTGGGAAATAGACAAGAAGACGTAGTCTTTCAAGTATTTTAGGAGAGAGTTTAACTTCTCTCCGTGTTGGAGAAATACAATTTTGAAGAAATGAGCACAGAAACTTCTCCACTGATAGAGTTGGCTATTAGCTTGCTGTGACATTACATCATTTCTAACAAAGGGGAATCTCTGTTAATTGGTGAACTACACATGGCCTCTTGATTAGCATTAAATGCCCCTACCCAGGGTCACTTGTTCATGGCTGGTGCTTCTGATTTACTCAGTTTACCTCTATGCTTCTCACCACTTACCAACCAAGGCAGAGATGGGTCATAAAACCTTTCTGTTCTTTCTTTCTTTATATATATATATATATAAATATATATATATATTTATATATATATATTTTATTATGTTATGCTAATCACCATGCATTACATCATTAGTTTTTGATGTAGTGTTCCATGATTCATTGTTTGCGTAGTATAACACCCAGTGCTCCATTCAGTACGTGCCCTCTTTAATACCCATATCCAAACAACCACTCAGGTCGTCATAAATGGGCAGTCATCCTTTTCTGTCTGCCCACAGAAGCTCCCACTTCATTTTCTTTAACTTCCATAGCATTTCAGGATATGAAGCTTGATTTTCCGGACAGGCTGAGCCAACCTCCTGTTTCTTAGTGGAATGTCACTTGGAATTTTTCCCTTAAAAAAAAAAAAAGGGAAATATCCAGGGACTGAAAACTCACAGCCCCAACTTAAGCACTGTTGCAGTTTTCTGAGTGTGTGAGGGAGTTTGGGTGTGTATATGTAGAAGTCTCTAAAAATCCATAATTGTTTAAAAAAAAAAAACTGAGACAGGAACAGCATGGCCTAATCTATGCAAATAAAGGCAGACTTTTTGGGGAGGGCGGAAAGAATTTGACTAAACACAGATTGCCTCCAAGCTGGCTCCACTTGTAAGGAGTGGGAACGCTGCTCTCCATCATCGATTCTTCAGATCAGGGACACAGGAGGCATTCTCAGCCGCCAGATGTGCACGTCTCTGTGTTTGCCCAATCAGTAAGGGAGCAAAGTGAATCCCAACTTGATCAGAACAAATAGTACTTCCCAGATCTTATTTCTTGTGTCCAGTTATTTTTATGTAAATTCGGGGGCAAAGTTGACTTTAAATTTTAAATAATGTTTCCTGACAGAAGGCAGCAAAACCCCTTTCTAATGACAGGACTGTTTTCAAACCCCTCTCCTGGTGTCTGATCCGTCAGTCCTACAGGAAGTAAATCCACCATAAACTCCCAGTGCCATAGAAAGAGGTCTCCCCAATACCTTTGTTCGTCTCCCAGCTTGTTTTCCTGCAGTTGTCACATCTTTAGGTGAGGTGGATCTTTTAGAATTGTGATCTCTCCCACTAAGCTTTAAGTAACCTTGGGAGCTGATAAAGGACTCTAAGGAGGCTTTAGATGCTTCTTCAAAGTTCTAGAATTGGTTTCCCTGATAAGAAGTGGCCAAATCCAGTTTTACATCATGGCAGTTCTTCCTCCACTGGAAAGGTTGCTACCTTTGGAGAGACTGTGACTGGGAGAGTAAGCCACCAGGATGGTGTCTGACTAGCTCAGGTGTGCACGGAGAGCTGTGGATGCCTGCCCGCCCTCAAGCTGGTGAAGGCCCCAGTGAATGATCACATCACAGTTCAGACTGTGGTTAGGCCACTTCTCAGATCATTCTATCACCAGGTTCCGCTGTTCTAAGGATTTTTCACCAAATTTCCTGCCCTTGGGGAAGAACTAACTCAAATTTCTGTTAGTCTCAGAATTAACTTTGAAACGAAAATTCTTCCTGGAAATACTTCCTGTATGTACCTCATGCCTAAAACAACTTTGCATGTAGGAGGGGCCACCTTGGCTGAATGTGCTCTGTGGGACTTGATGACATGTACCATGTCTTTCAAGTTTTCCTTTTTTTCTCACTTTCCTTTTGTTTTCTCCTTCTTCCCTTTTTCTTCCTTCATCCCCCCACCTCCTTTTCTTTTCTCCTCCCATTCTTTCCTCTCTCACTCCCAAGGAGACAATATGACCTAATGATTAAGGGCTTGGGCTCAAGAGGTGATGGGTGTAGATGGAATGCTCAGCTCTTCCACTTACTATGGAGGTTATTTTGGGGACATCATGTGATGGCTCTGAACCACAGTTGCCTATTCTTTACAAGGGAATAATCCCTTGCTGGGGTTTTTTCAGTATCAGGGAAATATATGTAAAGCACTTTTTATGAGCTAGTATGAGCACCAGCCAGATACTAGTGGTTTCCATTAATAAATGATGGCCATTATTATTATTCATTAATTCATTCATTCGTTGCTGAGTCCCTACCATGATGTAAATATTCTACGTGTATTGTTTATCTTCACCATCATTTCCTAGAGGTCTAAGAAATGTCCTGTAGGATTTTTAGTAAGAAAATTGTAGACATCCATAAATAAAAGAAACAAGTAACACCAATCAACTGCAAATAAAAAGAGTGAAGTATGAATAAGGTAGCAAGAAAAAGAGATTTATAAATACTGATATAACTATTTTGATGTAATAAATACTTTCTCAGGAATAGCCTCAAACAATAAATATTTTAATAAGGCAGGCCTGATTTATAAAGTTCTCTGGTGCTGATTTTTCAGGAAAAACACACACGTGT